AGATAGAAGTACTCACAAAAAAATATGTCCAGGAAAGATTTAGAAACGAAAGTGGATTGTTAATCGACATGCCAAAAGCCAATTTCGGGAACACTAATGACGGCAATACTAGCCGAAGATTTTTTGAAAATCCTCAACTAGCTGTCGATATAACAAAAGTTAATTTTAAATTGATATATAGACTAAAGATTATATTAGAAACAATTTTAAGTGGTCATAAAATTGACGTTCAACAATTTGATGATTATTCCAAAGCAACAGTGAAACTGTATCTCGATCTGTATGGATGGCACCCTATGACACCGACCATGCATAAAATATTAGTTCACGGTGCAAAAATAATCGAAAATGCCTTATTACCTATAGGACAGCTGTCAGAAGAGGCAGCAAAAGTTAAAAATAAGTATTATCGATTATATCGCGAGAACTATGCACGAAAGTTCTCGAGGGAGGAATGCAACCTAGATATATTCAACAGACTTCTTTTAACTTCTGATCCATTAATAACCATTTTAATCACCAAGAAACGTGTACAGACCAGAGTCAAACCAGGCTCATTTTGCACTGAAACGATTCAAATGCTTTTACCAGTGACCCGAATACTGAGTCTGATATGTCAGACACTGATATGTTAGGTAAAACAAAAACTAATATATTGTTACGATAATTATGGAGTTTATAACTATAAATATATTATGAATAATTTTGTTGTCTGTTCCAGTAAAGTTGAAGTTGTTTACAGAAACCTTTAGACCCCAATTTTATGACACATCCACGTCTCGAGGCTTTTCAAACAGTTGAAAAACTAGTCGAGCGGCTTCACCAAAATACGAGATGATCCGATAGAGTTCCATTATAATGTAGAAGGTCGCCGAACTTTCCAGATAACGGAAGTTTTTGTATATAAACGACACATTTTTATTTGTTAGGCAGTGAAGAAAGAAGCTCGGGAACCGCGATTTTGAAATGTATCGAACGTAACATAAATTTGTACAGTTATTTAATAAATTAGTAATTAGCTATCGTGAGTTTTAATAAATTAGAAAATAGACAATGAATTAGAATAAACTAAACTTAAAATAAACTATAAATTAGAACTTTATAAATATACTACAGTGGTGTCGGTGTGAGATTTGAATATAAATTCAACAGTGATTTTTGAAAAAGACTTTTGAATTCTTGAAAAGACTTTGGAACTTTTGAAAAGTATTGTTCATCGGGAACATCCGCGTATTTCGGTAGTGATCGTTGTATGAAAGAACATTTAAAAAAAAAGTACGTGTGTGCCTGACCAAAGATGTTGCTAGTACAACTTTCAGTAAAACAGTTGCGTGAGCAACTAAAAGAACGCGATGAAGACTGCAGCGGATTCAAGAAGATCCTCCAAGAACGACTAAAAAATGTTCTTAACAAGAACGGAGATGACCCAGAGACATTCCATTTTTAATCAGCAGAAGAA